TCTTCCCCCATCCCCTCACCTCCTTTGCCCTCTCCACTGGGCTCCTGACTCTTTCTGCAGTTTTTCTACTGCTTCTCCTTGGCTCCTTCTTTCTGCTGTCTTTCAGCCAGCCTCCTGATCTTCTGGTAGAAAAGATCTGCACCTAGCCTTCTTGGGCAAGGGCGAAAAATCTCAAGAGGGCTGTGCGCAAGTTGCGCACTTTAAAGATCCCTTGGTAGTCCAAAATCGATATAAAACTAGGCTTCAGCTGCCACCCGGGCAAAATTCAAAATTTGCTACCAATTGAAAATGTTTGGTGTGTCCCGCGCGCTCATATTATGACCTTATGCAGTTGCGAGCGCCGTAAAACACTTACCAAAACAAACAAGGCTTTCCAACTCGCTAGGTCATATACCCAGTACCCATTGACCGTCAAGGCACGACCGGTTCGATTCGGTTTGCATCATTCTATAACACGGGGTACCCATTGGGGGGTCGGGTCAGGTCGGGTCGGGTCGGTTTGCTAGCCAGATTGAGGGCGCAAGGCGGCTATTGTGGCACAAACCGATCACGCCCGACTCGTCGACTCAAAAACGAACGCGGCGTTTGTTTTCAGACGAGTCGGGCGACCGACCCGACCCCATCCGCAATGGGCACCCGATATATGTGTAAATATATGTGTCAATATATGTGTAAATATATTATTAAAGATTGCCAACCTGCTGGCTCATACCCAGTGCCCGGAGTGCCCAGTAGCACGTTTGGTTCGGTTTGCTAAGCAGATTGAGAGCGCAAAGCGCTATGGTCGTGACACAAACCGATCGCCCAACTCGTCCTCGCCTCAAAGACGAAGGCATTAATTGTTTTCAAGCGATGAGTTGGGCAATTGGTTTGTTAATCCCCCAATTGGCCACTCCGTATTAGAATAATTACAAAGTTCTATCTTGACATTTTTGGCTGTTTTGAGCTGCTAAAACTGTGGGTCAGAAGCTTGGCTGAGACTGAGAAGGCCTAGGTCAGAAGCCAAATAACGTGCTTCTCTTGTTCTACCAAAATCGTAAAATTATATTATAGTCATTATCAAGATTATATTCCAAGAATGCATCTGAAAAAGCTTGACATGCTGTGAACTCAAAGTTGTTGTTTTTTTGTTGGGTTTTTAAATTATTTTTTACATCAAATAAGTTCTCCAAACTTGGCTCTGAGCTGGTAGAATTTTGTAATTCTAAAGTAGCGAGTAAAAGTTCTATCTGCTCTTTTAAGCCGTTTTAAACTTCTAAAGCCATGGGTTCAGAATCCAAATTATAGTGTTCAATCTCTTCTATCAAAATCGTAAGATTATTCACTAGAGTCGTTGTCAAAGAAATTTAAAAAAACTGAATTAGAAAAATAAATTGACATGTTGTGAAACTCGGAACATTTCTGACGTCCTATTTCTCAAAACTAGGTCCAGTACTGAGCAGATAGAACGTTGTACATGTAATTTTAAGGGTAGAGAACTTTACTGTCACTGTTCCGGGATTTCCCGGGACTGTCCCAGATTCGGCAGTCGGGAATTTGAGAGCCTTGTCACGTACACGAGTACATTATTGATCTAAATATAATATTAGAACGTGTGGATCTGTTGCCATCTTGCAGCCACATTCGGATTTCGAAGGTACTCTATATTATTATGGTTTTTTAAAATGATTAGTCCACTAAAAAAAACGGGCAGAATCACAAACTGAAAATCATAGGGGTATCAATTTTGAACACTTGTTGACTCATAACTTTATTTCTGTTCAGCTGTTGGTTGATTATTGTTGTTAAATTTCCCTTTCAACAAACGTATAAAATAAATCACCAATCAAACAAATATGAAGCTATGAGGTTTTTAAATTGGCACTCACAATTTCCAGTTTGTGACAGTGCCCGTTTTCTTCCCCCAGTGGACTCCTCATATACTGACTAGAATATTTGCAGTTATAGTTGGAATTAATATTGTATATCCGGGTGGCGGCTGAAGCCCTCCCTTTTTTATTTTAGGACCGTCAACGTCAAGGGATTTTAGTGTGCGCAACATGCACTCTGGACCTCCGAGAATTTTGGCCACTGTCCGAGAAAGCAAAGTGTTCGATCTTACGTATCCTAAGATCAGGGGCAGGGGTGTGGCTGAAAGACAGTAGCAATAAGTTAAGGAACCAGGAGTAGAAAGAGTTAGAATTAAAGGAGAGAGAAGCCTAGGAGAGGCCGGGGAAAGGAAGGGGATGGAGGGGGGGGGGGCTGGTGAAGTGAAGATGAAAGTAGATGACAGAACAGGACCAGAGAACAGAAAAGGAGGTAATAGTCCTGGAACCATTTTAGAGAAGAAAATGTTGGGTTTTTAAAAAAGTCGCTTTCGGGTTTTGATCACGGGTCTTCTGAATGAAAGGCGAACGTTATGACTATTCCTCTTGACCCCGAGAGCCCCCCCCCCCCCCCCCCACTCCCCCCGGTCCGACGACTGTCGAGTCGGTTCCGGATTAAGGGCACGCCACCAGTTATGTAAACAGCTGGAGAGATTTACTTTAAACTTGTTGAGCGTTGCTGTCCGCAGAGATTTTTATGCCACTTTGTTTGTTGTAGTACCCAGGGTGATGACTCTTGGTGATCAGTCATGTTCCCACACACATGTGTGGTTCGTTTTAATAGTCGTTGTACGACAATTGTAACGCAAAAAGGTCGTAATATACGTAGGGTAGATTAGAAGTATCTTTATAGAGAGTAACGTGCACACCATTATGTAATTTAATGTATCCGAAGATTAGAGGTAATACTATAGAAGAGAGTGTCATGTAAAGCATCATGAAATATATCCGAAAATTAGAGGTTCTAACTATTATAGAGTGGCATGCATGGCATCATTTAATATATCCGAAGATTAGAAATATTACTATAGAGAGTAAAATGCAAAGCTTCAGGTAAAATATCCGAAAATCAGAGGCATTATTATAGAGTACCATGTAAGCATCATGTAGTAAATTGCAAAGCTTCATGTAATATGATATCCGATGCTGGTCAGTCCCGATCTTCTCTAACCCTAACTCCTTGATGTTTCAGGTTCGAATCCTATATGTGCGAAACCTGATGCTGTCGACCACAGAGGAACACCTGCGTGACGTGTTTGAGCAGGTGATCGGCAGCAGGGACTGCATCGAGCGCGTGAAGAAGCTCCGGGATTACTGCTTCATCCACTTCAAGTTGCGGGAAGACGCGCTCAGGGCCATGGAACTCATGAATGGTGAGTCGAGTCGACGAGTCGGTTGTAGTCGTACATGAACAGGCTTGCCAATGGGGGCTCTCGTGGCCTAGAGGTTAAGGTGTTCGCCACTCATTCAAAGGTCCCGGGTTCGAATCCGGGTAGTGACCAAAAAATTTTCTTCTCTAAATGTCTCCTTTAACCTTTTTTCCTTCTGTCTTGCTATATTCTGTTGTCTGCTTTCGTATCCACTTTCTTCCCCCATCCCCTCACCTCCTTTGCCCTCTCCACTGGGCTCCTGACTCTTTCTGCAGTTTTTCTACTGCTTCTCCTTGGCTCCTTCTTTCTGCTGTCTTTCAGCCAGCCTCCTGATCTTCTGGTAGAAAAGATCTGCACCTAGCCTTCTTGGGCAAGGGCGAAAAA